AAAATAAGCTACACCGATGTTTTGATAATTATTGGCAAACTCCATTTGTATCGATGGGGTTAGTTGTTGATCAAACATAAAGGTACTTGTTTGGTGTTCATCATTGTCTTTTTTATCAAAAACTTCAACAATGTTACGGTGTAGACTTGCTGCCCATCTTCTTCATGAAATAAGTTTGAAACATAATGACCTATGATAATTAAAACACAAAAAAAAAACACATTTATAATATAGTACCTTTGCTTGTTGTTCGTCCTCCCTATTCCTTGAATTCATCACCTCAGAGTGATTTTCCTTTATAAAATTCACAAGATACTCAAATTTACTGTCAACCTATTAAATAAAATTAACATTCAGTTTTATATTTCTGAATAACATAAAAAAGTTGATATCATTACTTAAGTATTCCTTCATATGTTGTTTTAGTTCTTTAATATCAGGATATATAAACATATCTTTTTGGACTTATGAAGAGACATGGACAGAAGATATATTAGTAGGCAGGGTAGGTTCTTCATCTGGCATTGAGAATGACTGGTCTAATGGCGGTCTTAACTGCTCTGATGATTTAGGTTTCGACCCCTTTGTTTTATGTGTATCATGTTTCTTTCTCTTTTTGGGTGGTGGTGGAGATGATGTACCTGTAACAACCCTAAAAATGAACAAGTTAAGTAATGTTTAATGTGTCTAGGATGCCTACAATTAGACCGGGTTCACACTGATTGATGCGCGTAGAAACAGACCTCTGAACCCTTGCTACAGCCAAGCCAACTAAATTGGGGAGTTAGTTGAGCTAGAAAAGATTGGGTCCAGACATGTACGGCACCCGAATACGAAGATTTACCCGGATGAGTCTTTACTGGACTTAAAGAGGGGAAATCATAAGTTTGAAGGGTCTAGGGGTAAAATGATCTTTTTCCAGGATAAGGGTAGTATCGTAATTACCCTAAATATGTAATTAATTATTTAATTAATAAGATGGAGGGGTATTTTAGGGAGAGAGGGCTGAATTGCCCTTTCAGCAAAATCTTGCTCCATCCAGGTTCGAACCTAGGTGAAAGCAATGATTTAATTTGTTTTATTTAAATTGGCAGATTAATTTAATAAATTAATAATTAATGGATGATTTTAAAAAAAGGTAAAATCAGATTTTATTTATTAATTAATTTGACTAAGTCTCGCCAACAAGTCCTAGTTCTAAGGGGACACTTCCTCACACATCTCTCTTTCACGCCTATCTATCTATCTCTCACTTCTGCCTCTCTCTCAACTTCATATTTTTTGTCTACTTTACGAAATAGAAAACAAAACAAAAGTTCTTCACATTTTAAGAACTTACAAAAATACTAACGAACAAGCTAATCTAAGAAACGAAAAGTTAACGAAATTTCTAGTTGGGTAAGGTGTGAGATTTGTTGGTGGACGTGAATTGGAGGTCAGTTTTGGGCAGCAAGTTTCATTTGTTGAACAACGTTAAAATCAGATTTGGGTTTTCTTAATCTTGGTCCCTTTCCCACGAGAGCCCTATGATTCAGTCGATTCTAATTCGAAAACTAGGATTGTTTCTCCGTTGTTGCATGTCCCTATCACTGGCTCCCATTGATTCGTAGGTTGGATATGTTTGCTGGTAGAAATTAGGGGTGTAATGTATTTAGTGATGATCATGTTCATGTATGTGTGTTCAGATTTATGAGATTATTAAAGTATGTTTTTCCAAGACTATGTGATAAGTATGTGTACACAGTGTGTGTTGCCGTTGCTCTTGGACACGAATTGGAATATGGAATAACATGTTTTATGATTGTATTTCACGTGCAAAAACTTATATCATGATGCTCATATGAAGTATAATGTGGCTGATTTGAGTGAAAAACTAATAGCTAAATAAATTAAGAAATGCCCTAAGAATTAACTCAAAATGATGATGAACAGAAGCTGAAAAATGTAACTCAAACTTTCAACACAAAATGACGAAAAATAAGTGAGGTCACTGAGGATCGAACCAGTGACCTCACCATGTTAAAAATCATTGAAATGATGTGAGTTAAAAAGAATGTGGCATATGGGATACGAACCCGTGTGACTTGACCAAAAATGAAAAGAAAAATAATTTAAAAAAAATAAGAATGAGGTGTGTGGGGTTCGAAACCACAACCTCTCTGTCAAACATTAGAGAGAATTAAAAGAAAGATAAAATTTGAGGCATGTGGGAATCGAACCCACAACCACACAGCAGAATAAAGGAAATTAAAGAGAAAAGAAAATGAGGTTGTGGGGGTTCGATCCCACACCCTCTTGGTCAAAACAAAAATTGGTTTAAGGAAAAAATAAAATAAAAGGTAATGAGGTTGTGGGTGTTTGATCCCACATTCTCTCAATCCTATGAACGAAAACTAAGGAAAGAAATCAAGGGGAAAATGAAATGAAGGTGTTGGGGCTCAATCTTGGGTTCTTAAGCCATGTGGATCTAACCGAAATAAAAATGTAAGTGTTGTCCAAGGGATGCGAAATAGGGTTCCCTTGCCTAAATTCCATTTTGATACATAATTCATACGTGAATAAATGTTCAAAAATAATGTTGCCTACATATATCAAAATGGATATCTTGGAATACTTACAAAATGCATAAGTCTTGTACCACATAATCGTAGGATGATATGAATCACTTAAACGAACTATGATTGAAGTATCATGGCTTGTATATATAGACCTATAAGTCTAGCATACGTGTAAACAAAGTGAATCTAAGATGTATGAAACGAAATGATGAAACCCTAGAAGGGTAAAGTAAGAGTGTGAAACACACTATATGGCCAAGTGCATTGGCATATGATGAAATGAACATTCATGTAAGAAGAGGTGAGTAATTATGAAGATAAAATATGCTAAAGCTAATGGATTTGGTGACAACATGATAAGAGGCAAATGTGAAAGATGAGAGCAATCTCAAATGAGCCTAAGTAAATGTTACCAAAATGTACTAACCTATGAGAGTGTAAAGCTAAAGAAGAGTCCAGTCTCTGTGAACACTCTAACAAAAGTATTGAAATTAATGTATACTTAATACTAATGATGAGATGAGAAATAATCTATTGAGATATGATGTCTTCATACTAGTAGCCAGCTTCCATGACGTATAAGTTGAATGTAATGGAACTTTTTACTGACACTGTTAGTCTAGATATAAGCGGTGATACCTTCTTTCGGAAAGGACGGAGGTTCACGTAACTCTCATGAGATGAGATTGTCCGTCATGCCGGGTATAGGTCTCCTTATATCTCCAATTCTTTAAACCTATACTGCCAATATAGGGATCTAGCAGGTTCAATTCCCTATGTACGTTAGCATGTTTTGGGTCACTTTGGTTGGTGATTTCACCTCTTTTCGATGTGGGGCAGACACTGGATTTCATGATGCTCACATGATCTATGCCTGTTAAAGTTAAAGTTCCCAAAGAAAGAATGAGGTCAGCCTTAACGAATGCACATAATAAAATGAACGATACCAAAGGTGTTAGGATAGGATAATCAAGAGGTGAGATAGAATTAAGTAATAACACTAGGTTATTCGTGGTCATTGCACAACAAACCCGATGAGAGTCTTAAACTATATCCTAGGTATGAATGGTTGCTGCACTAGTATATAAAAGAATGAAAATGAAGTACGTACGAATGAATGAAGCAAATTTTGTGTTTGTTAAAGAAGGCTCCCTAGTTGAGGTCCCATATTTTGAGCCCTCATTTTGGGAAGTCCTAATGTCAAGTCCATGATTCCAAGGTCTCATGGCATATGAACGAATGATATGCAATGTGTATCTGATATATGCAATATGTTATGTACTACATGTCATATGTTATGTGTTGTGTTCAATATGATACGTATGATGATGCATGTTACTCTCATAGCATGATTTTCATAATCCGATTTTGGCAAGTCCACTGACTTGAATTTCCATAAATCATATCGTTAGGATAGAGCTCTTTTTAGTCATGCATGTACTTGGTGTGTGCTTGCATATACTCATACATAGTATAAGTGTGTACTAAACCCATATAACTATCTACTCTTAGGTGCAGGTGCAGCTGGACGTTAGAGCTTACAGGTCGACGCTGAAGTTATCCGGATGGGGAGCATTCATCCAGATTTGGTAGGACCTCATGCTTTCGAGGATTCTTTCCCATTATATTCTAGCTTATATATAGGTTTGAGTTAGTGGAGTATGTTCCACTAGCGTTTCTTTCTCATCATATTTTAGAAATTGTATTGGTTCCATTCTAACAAGTATACACTTAATGTCGTATGGAACTATTTCTTTCATTTGATGATCTTAATATTATATGGTTGATTGTGAATGCTTATGAGTATAAGTAGAACGTCTTAAATGAATGTTAAGTAACAAAAAGTTCAAATTTTTCGCTAAAATTAACATAGATGAAGTAATGATGGCATAAGTAGGCTTGTCTATGACGTCTGAGAGGTCAATGACGCCGGTCTCGTCGTGACAAACTTGGTATCATAGCGTTAGGTTAAATTCCGAGGATAATAAGTTCACATAAGCCACATCGAGTAGTTTCTAAGTCATGGTAGTGAAGTGCGCCACTATCCTGAATTAGAGACTGCATGATGCATATGAAAACTTCCTTTCTTCTAATCTTATTGTGGCTTCTGTAATGTCTCATTTTTTGATATTATGCACATGTCTAACATAAATCCTTGTTGTCTTTAGAGAATGAATACTAGGAGACACATTGGTCAGTGAAGAGGAGGAGCAGCTTGCTGGGCACAATCAGGTTCCACCCCAGGCTCCAGCTGAAGGAGTGACTATGCTGGTTAATTTTGCTGGGTTGACTGATGCAGAGGTGCGGGCATCTCTTGCCCAGATGGCACAGGCCATCACTATGCAGGACCAGGCCATGACTGATTAAGTCAACCAGTAGAATGTTCAAAGGGAAAAACCATCGGTTCATAGCATGACTGGTAGGCTATAAGACTTCACAAGGATGTATCCTTCTACTTTTACAGGGTCCAAGACTTCAAATAATCCCCAGGAGTTTGTGGATGAGGTAAATAAGATTTTGGTGGCCATGGGTGCCACAGATACAGAGAAAGCTGAGTTGGATTACTATAAGCTTAAGATGTTGCACAGACTTGGTGCAAGATGTGGCAGGATAGTCGTGCGTTGGGCGGAGTTCCGATAAATTAGGAGTTGTTAAAGACAGCTTTCCTAGAGAGATTCTTCCCAGGGAGATAAGCGAGGCGAAGGTTGAGGAGTTTATCAACCTTAAGCAGGGATCAATGAAAATCCGGAGTATTGCCTGAAGTTTGTTAAACTATCAAGGTATGCTACTTCCTTTGTATCTAACAGAAGGGATGAGATGAGTAGGTTCTTCACAAAAATCACCGGAGATCTGGAGCAGGAGTGTCGGGATGTGATGCTCCACAATAACATGGACCTCTCCAGGTTGATGGTGCATGTCCAACAGGTAGAGGACAGCCAAAAAAAGAGCGGCGTCCGTAATGCTAGGAGGCCTAAGCCTCATGATCAGGCATGTTGTAGAAGTGGGAGCAACAGGAACAACTTTTGCATCCGTGAGCAGCCCAAGTTTAAAAGGGGGCAACAGAGTTCAAGGAACTCTAACTTTCAGAGGAGTACAACACCTAGAGGCAGACCCGAGCCCAAGAAGCGCAATAGAGATGAGATGCAGCATCCCAGAAAGGACTGTGCTAAGTGTGGCCGTGATCACAGTGGAGAGTGCAGACAGGGCACTAATGCCTTCTTTGGTTGCGGTAAGAGCGGGCACATGGTTAAGGACTGCCCACAGAATAGGGGTCAGACTAGAGGTAATGCTCAGCCTAAGCCTAATTCATAGGGTGCACCAGTAGTCGAGCCACCTAAGAGGAACATGTTCTATGCTCTGAAGGGCAAGGAGGAGCAGGAGAAGTCCCCTGATATGGTCACAAGTATGCTGCAAGTATTCTCAACTTCTGTTTATGCTTTACTTGATCCAGGGTCTACTCTTTCCTTTGTAACTCCTTTACTTTCTCTCACTTTTGATATATTTCCTGAAGTTCTGCATGATTCTGTAGTGGTTAGTACACTTTTAAGGGAAAATGTAAGAACAAATAGAGTATACAAAGATTGGCCAATAGTTGTATGTGGTAAGACTATGTGTGTAGACTTGGTTGAGTTACCAATGCATGATTTTGATGTTATTCTTGGCATGGACTGGATCCGTAGTTGTTATGCTTGTATGGATTGTCGTAGTATGGTTGTGAGATTTTATTTCCCTAATAAAGAAGAGTTGGTCTGGGAGGGGTACAACTTAAGTCATCCTAATCCATTGATTTCGAACCTTAAAGACAATAAAATGATTTCCAAGGGGTTATTGTGTCATCTTGTTAGTGTTAATGATTTAGATCATGACTTTATTTCCATAGACTCAGTGCCTGTGGTAAGTGAGTTCCAAGATGTATTTCTTAATGATTTGTCTGTAGTTCCTCCCCCTCGAGAGATTGACTTTGGTATTGACTTAGAACCTAATACTAAACCAATTTCAATTCCTCCTTACAGAATGGCTCCAGCTGAACTCAAAGAGTTGAAGCTGCAGTTATAAGATCTCACTGATAAGGGTTTTATTTAGCCGAGCATATCCCCTTGGGGCGCTCCAGTGTTGTTTGTGAAAAAGAAAGATGGAACCCTTAAAATGTGTATCGATTATCGGCAGCTCAACAAAGTCACTATCAAGAATAAGTATCCACTTCCCATAATAGATGACTTGTTCGACCAACTCCAAGGGTCTAGTTTCTTCTCGAAGATTGATCTTTGTTCAAGGTACCACCAGCTCAGGGTTAGGGATGGAGATATCCCAAAGACAATCTTTCGTACCTGTTATGGTCACTATGAGTTCCTAGTTACATCATTTGGTCTCACGAATGCACATGCTGCATTTATGGATCCCATGAACAGTGTCTTCCACGAATACCTTGACTCTTTCGTCATAATATTCATTGATGACGTTCTCATCTACTCTAAGAAAAAGGAAGAACATGAAGAACATTTGATACTAACCTTGCAGGTACTTAGACAACACCAGTTGTATGCCAAATTTAGCATGTATGAAGTCTGTCTTAGAACAGTGACCTTCCTAGACATGTTGTGTCCGACAAAGGTGTGGAGGTAGATCCCAGAAAGTCTGAGACTGTTATGAACTTGCGAAAAACCTCTTACTCCCACACATATTTGTAGCTTCTTGGGATTGGCTGGTTATTATCACACGTTCGTGGATGGTTTTTCTTCCATTGTTGCCTCACTGATAGCTTTGACTAAGAAAAAAGCCGAGTTTGAATGGACGAAGACTTGTGAAAATAAATTCTAGGAGCTCAAGGACAGACTCACTTCAGCCTAGGTGCTTACTTTGCGTAAGTATGGTGAGAATTACAGTGTTTATTGTGATGCACCTAGGGTTGGTTTGGGTTGTGTTCTTTTGCAGGGTGGTAAGGTGATAACTTATGGGTCCAGACAGCTCAAGCTTCATGAAAAGAATTATCCCACTCATGAAATGGAGTTGGCAGTTGTGGTAGTTGCATTGAAATTATGGAGGCACTACTTGTATGAAGTGCATGTGGATGTGTTCACAAACCATAAAAGTCTCTAGTACCTGTTCACACAGAGGGAGTTGAATCTACGTCAGCGGAGGTGGTTGGAGCTATTGAAGGACTATGACATGAATATTCACTACCATTCATGTAAGGCTAATATTGTAGTTGATTCTTTGAGTAGGATAAGCATGGGAAGTACAACCCACGTTGATCATGAGAAGAAGGAGTTGGTGAAAGATATACACAGACGGGCCAGACTGGGTGTGCAGTTAGTTGACTCTACTAGTGGGGGTTTTTCAGTTCATCCTAGTTCCTAATCATCCTTAGTAGTTGAAGTCAAGGAGGGTCAGCATCTTGATCCTGTGTTGATGGAGCTGAACGACTCAATGTTGGTTAAAATGAATAAGTCGTTTACTTTGGGAGATGACGACATACTTAGGTACCAGGACAGGCTATGTGTACCAGATGTGGATGATTTGCAGACCAGGATCATTGCAGAGGCCCATGGTTCCAGAAATTCCATACATCCAGGTTCCACCAAGATGTATCATGATCTTAAGAAGATCTCTTGGTAGGATGGAATGAAGAAAGACATTGCAGAATATGTGGCTAAGTGTCCTAATTGTCAACAGGTTAAGACAGAACATCTTAATCCTGGCGGACTTACTCAGTTTATTGAGGTTCCGTCTTGGAAATGGGAGGCCATTAATATGGACTTTGTGGTTGGTCTTCCGAAGACTAGGAGGCAACATGACTCCATATGGGTTATTATAAACAAGATGACTAAGTCTGCCCACTTTATCCCTGTGAAGTCTACTTACAGAGCCGAGGATTATGTGAGACTCTACATTGATGAGATTGTGAGATGGCATGGGATTCCTTTGTCTATCATTTAAAATAGAGAAGCTCAGTTCACTTCACATTTCTATAGATCCTTCCAGAAGAGCTTAGGAACACAGGTAAAGCTTAGTACTTGCCTTTCATCCTCAGACTTAAGGGTCAGACAGAGCGCACCATTAAGACATTGGAGGATATGTTGAGGGCGTGTGTGATTGACTTCAGGTGTAGCTGGGACGACCATATGCCTTTGATAGATTTCTCGTATAATAACAGCTATCACTCAAGCATTGGGATGGTACCGTTTGAGGCGCTATATGGTAGAAGGTGTAGGTCTCCAGTTGGGTGGTTCAAGGTTAAAGAGTCGTCCATTTTGGGTCCAGATATCATTCACGAGGTCTTATAGAAGGTCAAGGTTATTAGGGACATGTTGTCTACTGCTTACAGTCGGCAAAAGTCTTATGTAGACAACAGAAAGCGGCCTTTAGAGTTTGATGTTGGTGACCAGGTCTATTTGAAGATATTACCTATGAAGGGAGTGATGAGGTTTGACAGTAAAGGGAAGTTGAGTCTGAGGTATGTTAGTCCATATGAGATCCTACAGCGTGTGGGTGAGGTGGCCTATGAGTTGGCATTGACTGCGGAGATAGCTTATGTTCAACCAGTTTTTCATGTATCTATGTTAAAGAAGTTCCTAGGTGATCCAGCATAGATTTTACCTGTTGAAGGTTTGGTGTCGATGAAGAGTTGTCTTATGAGGAGGTACCTATTGAGATTTTAGACAGACATGTCAAGCGTCTAAGGAACAAGGAGATTACCACAGTGAAGGTATTGTGGAGGAATCATCTTTTTTAGGGTGCTACGTGGGAGGCCGAGGCCGATATGAGATCCCGCTACCCTCGTCTTTTCAGCTCTTGAGGTTAGACTTCCCACTCTTAAGTCTAACCTTATCTCTCCGTTCTTTGTTGTTATTGCTTCTTTGTGGATACTAATTATGTTATGATCTGACTAGCATTATGCTAGATCTTTAGTAGCGTCATTCGGGGACGAATGTTCCTAAGGGGGTGGGGGGGATAATGTAACAACCCTAAAAATGAATATGCTAAGTAATGTTTAGTGTGTCTAGAATGCCTACGATTAGACCGCGTTTACACAAATTGATGCAAGTAGAACCAGAACTGTGAACCCTTTCTACAACCAAACCAAATAACTTGGGGAATTATTTGAGCTAGGAAAGTTTGGTTCTAGCCATGTAGGGCACCCGAATACGAAGATATGAGTCTTTACCGGACGTAAAGAGGGGAAATCTTCAGTTTGGAGGGTCTAGGAGTAAAATGGTCTTTTTCTAGGCTACGGGTAGTACTGTAATTACCTTAAATATGTAATTAATTATTTAATTAATAAGGTGGAGGGGTATTTTAGGGAGAGAGGGCCGAAATTGCACTTTTAGCAAAATCTTGCTCCATCCAGGTTTGAACCTAGGTAGGAGCAATGATTTAACTTGTTTTATTTAAATTGGTATATCAATTTAATAAATTAATAATTAATGGATAATTTTAAAAAAGGGAAAATCAGATTTTATTTATTAATTATTAATTATTAATTAATTTGACTAAGTCTTGCCAATAAGTCCTAATTCTATGGGGACACTACCTCACGCTTCTCTCTTTCAGGCCTATCTATCTATCTATCTATCACTTATGCCTCTCTCTAAATTTCACATTTTTTCTGTACTTTAAAAAACATAAAACAAAACAAAATTTCGTTATACTTGAAGAACTTACAAAAATACAAACGAACAAGCTAACCTAAGAAACGAAAGGTTAACAAAATTTCTAGTCGGGTGAGGTGTGAGATTTGTTGGTGGACGTGAATTGGTGGTGGATTTTAGGCAGAAAGTTCAAGTGTTAAACAACGTTAAAATCAGGTATGGGTTTTCTTACTCTTGGTCCCTTTCCCAACAGACCCCTAGGATTCAGTAGATTCTAATCCAAAAACTACGATTGTTTCCCCGTTGCATGTCCCTGTCACTAGCTCCCATTGATACATAGGTTGGATATGTTTGCTGGTGGAAATTAGGGGTGCAATGTGTTTTCGTGATGATCATGTTCATGTATCTATGTTCGGATTAATGTGATTATTCAAGTATGTTTTTCCAAGACTATGTGATAAGTTTGTGTGCAAAGTGTGTGTTACCGTGGCCCTTGGATACGGATTGGAGCATGGAATAACATGTTTATGGTTGTATTTCTCGTGCACAAACTTGTATAAATTGTGATGTTCATATAAAGTATATGTGGCTGATTTGACATGAAAAATAATTAGCTAAATAATTCACGAAATGGCCCTAAGAGTTAACTCAAAATGATGAAGAAAAGAAGCTGAAAAATGTAACTCAAATTTCAGCACTTTGTTGGTTAATTTCAACCAAGTA